CCCCCCCCCCCCCCCTGCTTTTTAACATCCCGTTAATTGGCAGGCACAATCTCTTAATTTTAAAAATCAGCTCAGTTAAAACTGGTTAAAGGTACCATGAATGTTGTTGAACCAGCGAGCCCCAGCCACTGTTGGCTGGGAGTCCAGTATCAGAGGGGCTAGCAGTGGAGAGCAGCCTCGAGGAGGGGGGAATGAGATCAGTCCAGTGGCCAAGAGGGAAGCCATTGCGGAGGCCGGTGACCCCAGGAGAGCCCTGACCCCCTTTTCCAGGACCAGTCAGGTTCTGAGGATCCTGGATCAGTCAGATCAAACCTGTAGTAAGGGTACATCTAGATTATATCCCTTTTCTCAAAAAAAGGGATGTAAATTAGACACTTTGAAATGGCAAATGAAGGCAGGATTTAAATTTCCCACGCTTCGTTTGCATAATGGCAGCCACAGTTTTTTTTGAAACGGGGTTTTTCAAAAGAAAAACGGCTGTTTAGAAGGGGATCGATCGAAAATAAAACCCTTTTTCAAAAGATCCTGAAGTGTCTAATTTACATCCCTTTTTTTGAGAAAAGGGATGTAGTTTAGACACAGTCTAAAGTCTTGACCCTCTTTTGTAGAACAAAATCTCCCAACTAGTTTTGTAATGCATTTGTTAAGTTTGAACTGTCATTTAAACCACTTAAATGGTTAGGTCCATAAAAGGCTATTAGCCAGGGGGTAGGAATGGTGTCTCTGGCCACTGTTTGTCAGAGGCTAGAGATGGATGGCACGAGACAAATCTCCCACCCTCTCTGGGGCACCTGGTGCTGGCCACTGTCGGCAGACAGGCTACTGGGCTAGATGGACCTTTGGTCTGACCCAGTACGGCCATTCTCATGTTCTTATGTTCATTTCTAAAACATATACAAGTGCATCCATTTTTTTAAATTTCTAGTACAGACTAGTCCAAAGTGGGATTAAGCTAGTTTTAAAAGGGGATATTTAGCAATTAAATGTTTTCTGTCCCAAATTGAATGTCCTGGATAATTCCAAATCACTCTAACACAACTCTTTTTATAGATATTGTTTCTATTGCAAGTAATCTAGTCTGGTAACTCATACAAAAGGAAGGTGTTACCAGTCTTTTGTTTTTGTAGTACTATTCATACTGACAGTACTTAGAGTAAACAAGTAATGAGTACACTGGCGATATCACCATATGGGCTTTGCAACTCAGGGTACGTACCTCTACACTGCAGCACTATTTTGGGATACATCCGGTATCCCAAAATAGCTATTCTGTGTCTTTGAAGCAAGCCTGTTATTTTGAAATATAACGGGCTTACTATTCCAACATCCCTGTAAACCTCATTGCACAAGGATTAAGGGATGTTTTGTAATAGCAGTTTATTTCGAAATTGGGCGCTGTGTAGACAGTGCTAAATTACAAAATAAGCTATTTCAAAATTAACTTGAAATAAGCTATGCAAATTTGCATAGCTCAAATTGCGTAGCTTATTTTGAGCTAAGGGTGCAGTGTAGACTTACCCTTAGGCAAGACTCCCATTGACCTCAGCAAGCTGTTATGTTGCAACCTTTTATAGCGTACTTTGACATTTCACTCTTGATTATGTATACAGGGAAAAGGGGTGGGAAACAAGAACTTTAAAATGCTTTTGGATTATAATTGTGCTTATATGCATTTAGACGTCAAGGCACAAAGTATAAATAAAATTCTTCGGAAGTACCTGATGAAATAGCACACCTGTTTCAGGAAATACATTTTTAACATGCAAAATCTGTATTTAAATAACATTGCATCACAGCACTAATCACAAAAATAAGTAACCCAACCTCCATTATTAACTTAAGTGGCTGCAAACAGGAAAAAGTTAGCAATGTAAACTGACAATATCAGCCTTCAATTTCCTGGCTTTTGTCCATTGTCGTCACAGCTTTGATGGTTCAATGCATCTTTTCCTTCTATTTCCTTGTTTTTATAAGATTTTTTTAACATAGACATTTTCAAGTGAATAAACATGTATAAAACCTATTTTGCCATTGTTACGTGCTCAAAACTCCCACTGGTTTAAATTAAATGTGACATGAGGAAATCCCATTGAACTGACATGTTTGGAATAGTATTAGTGTACTGCTGATCAATTCTTGCAGTTTTCAAGAGCATGCAAGACTTGAATTTCTAGTGTAAAATAACAAACAAGGAAAAAAAAACCTTAAAATCACTGAAAAGTTTTTTTTATGACTTTTTATGTCACAATGAAGCAAAAAAAAAAAAAAAAAACAACAACCACTAAACCCAAACCTTTTCTTCCTTTTGAACATCATATTTTAAAAGTAGAATGAGCAAAGTTAGGCTACGTCTACACTGTAACAATATTTCAGGGTAATGGAGTATCCCGAAATAGCTATCTTGCATCTTCACAGCAAGCCTCTTATTTTGGGCCCACTATTCCAATGCCCCTGTAAACCTCATTCTACGAGGAGAAAGGGACATTTCGGAATGCTCTTTATTTCAAAATTTAATGAGCTATTTTGAAATAGCATTGAAATAAGATACACAATTTGCGCAGCTCAAATTGTGTATCTTATTTTGAGAATATTCTGTTGGGAATGATCTACTATTCGATTAGTTCGTTAATCTAAATTTAACATCTCTTCTATGGATTTGAGTTTTGTTTTTACCCTGTGTTGGTTAACATGGTAAAAAGGCCTGTTTTCCTGATGACACAAGACTTCAAGCCAGGTTTACATTAAAACTTTTACCAATATATAGTTATGTTGGTAGGGGTGTCCTTTTTTTTTCTTACAACATTTCTATACTGCCAAAAGCCCCCTAGTATAGATGCAGTTACAAACCCCTATCCCAGTGCTGACCCCTCTCCCAGAGCCAGCCCCCCTTCCCACTTCTCAAGCCCTAAGCCTGACCCCCCTTCCAGAACCAGCACCCCAACCTCTCACCCAGACCTGATCTCCCCTCAGAGCCAGTACCGTGAGCCCACTTCTGCATTCCAACTTCGTACTAGGGATGTTAAAAGCATTTTTTAAATAAATGTATAACCACTGACATTTTCAGATGCCTTGCCCCCCACCCTCACTCCCCGCCATGCTCCTTCCTGAGGCCCCGCCCCTTTAGCAACCTTTCTTTCCCCATGGAGCTAAGTCCC